AGGGGGGGGGGGGGGGGGACATATTTCACTGGCACGATCTTTGTTTGATATTAAGATCAAGGGAGAAACTCGCCGCCTTTTGGACCGCGTTGATAGCTGGGACAAACCCGGAGTATTAACCGTTTTTATGGTATCAACCAAACAATCCTTATAGCTAAGGTGTAGGATGCATACTAATCCTCTGCCGTCAGGGTGTTTCTGGTGCTGGGAAAACGACTCTGTTAGATGTCCTAGCGACCCGTGTCACCACCGGGATTGTAACTGGAAATACGATGGCTAAATTACCAGACTTCTTGGGCCATTTCTGAGCTTATTAAAAGACTTGCAAGCAATGGCCAGGCCGTTCTCTGCACTATTCATCAGCCCTCCGCTGTTTTATTTGATCAATTTGATCGACTGCTTCTTATAGCTCCTGGTGGCAAAATAGTCTACTTTGGAGGTGATTCAGTTGCCTCCAGGTAGTCCGAAGGGGAAAGATTGGCATCAGATATGGCTAAAATCCCCTGAATACCAGATGGTCCATGCAGAACTTCGACATCTTCGATAATTTTCTACTATGAAAGGCACCACTTATCAAAGATGATCCCCAAAACCAAGACTTCGAGTCTACTCTTTGGACGCAATTCAGCGAAGTTCTGCAGCGCACCTGGAAGGACCTGTGGCGATCACCATTTAATATTTGGTCCAAAACCATACTATTCATTCTCTCTGTGCGGGAAATCTCCAATCCACTTCCTACTTTAATTCTAATAACACACCTTGCTTTCTGGTCGCTTTACCTTGGGTTCAGTTTTGATGCCAACAATTCCATTCAAGGGCTTCGAAACAAATTGTGGACTATTTTTATGCTCCTAGTCCTTTTTATCAATATCAACTAGCAGCTTATGCCTATATTTGTGCCTCAACGTGCGCTCTATAAGGCGCGCGAACGGCCCTCCAAGATTTACAAATGTACAAGGTCTCGTTTTCTGTTTGTAACGTACAGTCGACTCATGATCCGCTGACATGTTACTATTACAGCATACGTACTCTCCAACGTAATTGTCAAACTACTTATATGGCATTACTCGATAGCAACCATCATGCACTTTTGCTGGTATTATCTAGTAGGTTTTGTCCGAAATACTACCTCCAATAACGGGCCATCCGTGGATTTCTCGTCTTTCTTTTCCTGTGGGTTTTAAGCACGCTTGCCCATTTTATTTTTTGGATCGACCTTCCTGAAACTGCGGGAGTACTGACGAATCTTTTCTGGATGCTATGCATGCTATTCTAGGGGTTAGTCTTATCGTTTTCTACCCACAGTAAGGAAGGCAGTATGCTAAGGAAGAAAACAGTGTTGGGGTCCTTGCAGTTGACCTTCCTAAGTTCTGGTCATTCATGTACCGGGTCTCACCAGCAACATACCTTGTTGGTGACCTCATGTCTAGCGCTGTCGCTAACTCTGACGTGAAATTGTGCTGAGAGATTCTTCACATGGCCCCGGTTGGAGATTTCACTTGCAAAGAATTTTTGACCCCTTACATTGAAGCAGCAAGGGGTGCTGTTCTAAACCGAGCATCTCGAGATATTTGCGAATATTGGCCGCTTGCTTTGACGGACGAGTTTCTTTACCGATTCCAGATTTCTTATGATACGAGATGGAGGGTCTTTGGTCTTTTATGGGAATACATCCTCGTGAATATTGCTTCAGGGCTGGGCTTTTATTGGGTATTCAAGCTTCCTAAAGGAGGAGGCAGCAGGCGTGCTTGAGACCTTTGCAGCATCCTCGGTCTGAGCCTAGACAATCTAGCCATCTGCTCGTTACCCCTCTGTTTAAAACTAATTCACCTGAACGGATGTGCTTACTACCAAGGGCAAAAATGAACGACATTTGTTAGCCTGTTACAAAATACGAGACTGGTAGGGAAAACTGCCAGCTCCCCCAGGTTCCAAGTTATACGATTCAAGATCTCTCGGTTCTGGCTAAACGGCAAAATCAGACCCCTCTTTCAAGCCTTTTGAAGTCTAGTGACCGAAGAAAAGACCAGTGCTGTATTTCGAGAGGAGTGATGACAGTTAACCAACATGTTGGAAGTATTGTATGAATGCAGCCACCATTGCATAATATAATAATGCAAATATAATGAAAGGAGATAAGGTTTTGGGCAGCAAAGAAGACAAGGTACGTTGCAGCATCAAAACATCGAGTTTGTGAGATAGTTAAACGCTCCCGGGGAAGTAGATTAATAAAGCTTTATTTCTCTGCTGATAGTTATCATAGCTGGCAATAGAAGTGGGGTGAGCAAGGGAGAGGTCATATTACTAACATTTAATTGTCTATCCCTTGGAGGATAGCCGTAAAGCTGTTCCGTGCATTAAACTAGTTGGTAAGTAGGTAGAAACTAAAGGTTTGCCTAGCTTTAATCTTGATCTGTTCGTCTGACTTTAGTAAAGAGAACGTAGTCTCATGGCCCTAGTTTAGCATTCTAGGAGTCTCTTGACTGCTAGAGCCGTAAGAACTCGTAATTGTTTCGAGGGAGAGTTCGCCGTTATATATCCGAGTCACCTGAGATGTTGGCCTGTCCGTTCAGGCATAGCAATGGCTCATGCCCCCTAGCCGTATCGACCATCAAGCACTTCGTGTATGCACTCTCGCTGTTCATGATGGAGCATGTTGGGTCTAACATCGTCGCAGGTGGACCCCTGAAACCCGCCAGGCGACTATAGTTAGCTGTTACGGCAAACAGCAGCCAGATCACAATAATCGACAAGACAGTTTTTCAACATGCAAATGTGATACATGAGATTGGCAAAATTCGACCCCGGATCAGGCGGGATCTCCAGTCGGACCGGATCTGCGTCCATGTGTCTATGGATCTGGGTTGAACGATGATGGTATCCGGGATTTATACCAGCCCAGCCTGAAAATTTTGTACTCTCCTGAGTTTTGTCAAATCTTTAAGATTCTTCCGGGACCTGCATACTTACATAAAAAAAAAAAAAAAAGAAGGTGCAGAGTTCATTGTCAAAATTTAGAGAGATGAAGTTAGTTCCACTGACAGGGGCAAGAGCGAAGGCCTCGACTCTGCATGCTCTTATACATAGGCAGAGAAGTATCCCTGCTTCCCCGAGCGTCTGTTCAGACCACCAACATATATCCTTACATGACCGGTCAAGTTGACAGCGGAAATGGAGGTGAATAAGTAATAATATGACAGCCGAGACATGCAAGCGACCTATCTCGGACATGGCACTTCGCGACAGTTTCTCGGACACGGCTTCTCGATGACATGCAGATGATTGACGGGTGGGCGTTGCTTTTCTCTTCGCTACCGAGATAACATTTGGAATCGTCTGGACAGTCGTCCAATAGAGCAAGGGCGCTACCGGGCTTCGATCATATCCACCGCTTGAGACCCCTGTTCAGCGCTCTCCATCCGCGACTAAGGGGAGTCGCTCATCAAATAATGGCTTTTTAGCCAGATGTCTGAACTGTTTGTGGTTAAACTTTCCTGACATGTCGTTGTTTGGCTATGACTCGTTCGCCGAAATCCACAATCTGTCCCTTTCCCAAATCTCGGCGGAGTCGAGGTGAGGTACTGGTGTTCGTTCGGCTCGGTGGGTAAGGGAGAGAAACGAAAAAGGGGGGGAGGAGGCCCATTGTTCGGGGCAGTTTCCTGAGGGCGAGCATGTATCACAACGACTTGTGGTGGCCAGCACAAGACGACATGGGGTCTTTGAAAGAGAGTGTTTTTTGGCCAGTGCCTGTAAACTGCCACCAGGGCATGTTGGCAGGTAAACCAGCAGTTAGATCAGAGTGCGAAAGGACGGTGGCACGACCTGCTGTTCTCGTCGATACTTCCGGGATGCGAACACATGGCAACGCTAACAGTGTTTAGGTGTGCGCCTTCAACGGTCCCGCTCTGGGAGCGAAGAAAGATTATTTGCGAGCCCTTCGCATAAGTAGTTTTAGCTGTCTGGTACGCCACCCAGGGCGCTTCATGTGGATCCCTGTGAGGTTGTCTGGAGGCTATACATAGAGCTTGTACAGCCCGCTGTCAGTCAGCCTGAGCTGACGTTGAAGTAAATCCTCCGCTGAGCAAGACATGCAGAGCTGACACTCCTTCTGCCTCTTTTTCACTCTTGTATTCTCCCCTCGCTCGTTATTCATCGTGTTCTCTTTTAATCTCTATCAAAAAGGCGGGGCCTTCATGTCTTCCTCCATATAACGATATGCAAATGTCACCACGGTTGATACTCTGTCTAGAGCATGGCCTTATTGTAGTCCAACCATAGGGACTTTGACATCTTCATCGCCGGGTTGAGTCCGGTTTGACATCGAGCAGGAGGGGTTGGCGCACAGGATGCACGTCGAAGGAGATCAGGATAACTCCATCCATCGCCCGACTGACCCAGATGGCCTGGTGTTGGAAGCTTGGGCGCAGGGCTTCATGGTTGGAGGTCTACTGTTTATGATCGCAATCACCATTGCCAACATGAGACGAAAAGCGTTGCTTCACAAGCTCATTCTCCTAGAGGTAAGACCGCTTCTTCCCTCTGCCTGCATCCTCTGGCGCACGACATTGATGTGATGAGTGCAGTTGATTCTCGGGATGAGCCATGGTACCTTTTTGTTTGCCCACGAGCCGGTCTATGGCTGGTACCTCTCAATCACGGCAGTCGGGCTAAACATGTCTTGGAGTTTGCATAATGTGATTGCCTGGATGAAGAATAAACCGTTTCTTACCTACCGGGTCTCGATGTTCTATATCGGCACCGTCATTCTGGCCCAGATCTATTGGGTTATCGAGATCTATGCAAACTTCGCTTTCTTCAACAATATTAACATGCTCTTCTTGAAGACACGGCCGTGGGAGCCTCTCTTCCGGTAAGAAGGAGCTGGTAGATATACTCGCAAGAAGGGTTAATGTATAGCTGACAAGGCAACGACAGTGACCCCTGGTGGATATACACGACCTGCAACATCTTCTGGGTAATCAAGTCCCAGTACGACTTTAGCTTCGTCGAGCTCGTTCGTCATAGCCCTCGGTTCGGGGTCATGTTGGTATCAATGTGCATTTCTATCATCTTCATTGTCGTCGATGTGCTGAGCGTGCTCGGTGTGTTTCGAGGCGCTCTGCCAACAGGACTCAATCCATTCTGGAAGGTATGGTATATATCCATAGCTTCGAGGGCTCTCGAAGGCGGACGGGCTAACCAGTCATCTGAATCAAATAGATATCCTTCGTCTGCAAATGTTTCTGCGATGCCGTTATCCTCGATGACTTCAAGACGGCCCTGGATAAACTGCGCGACTACTGGCTCTTGAAGAACGCAACAGAACCGATCAACAGCGAACCTTCTAGCAGGCACAACGATACCCGACGACGTCGAAGCCACGGCACCATCGCTGCCTCCAACACGATGATAATAGTCGAGCCCGAGCCAGCGAAGAGTCGAAATGGAGAGGGCGCTAGTTGGAACTGCACGCCGCCTCTCCCGTCGAACTTCCCGAGTACGCGACGTAACTATCCACGGGGGTATTTGCACAGCGGCGATGGGATAGTTTGAAGGACTTCACCAGGCTGGGTGAGAGGAGATGTATTTGAAGGGAGTCAACGCAGAGGGAACTCATGTTGAAGTATTCACTACTTCATTTCCCCTCTCGCTAGGCGTGAATCGTATCACGAGCCGCAGAGTCCGGCTTCCAGGCGCAATACGAGTCGACGGTGGAGCAAGGAGGATTCCTCTACGACGGAGGAAGCCATCTACCATCTCGGGCGCTGGAATGAACGAAGACCAGCAGACGGATAGGAGTCTGAAGGTGAAGAGAAGAGGTGCAGGTTGAAGTTGCAGCTATGAAGCCAACGAACGACGCCACAAATGCGAGTAACTATTGAACGGACGAAAGGAAGTCAGGACGAAGACGAAGCCGAGATGAAGATATCCTTAGCTAGCTGCGGCCTGCCTAAGTTACGTTACTTGGTGCTAAGATGAATAATGACCATGCTGTATTTATATAAATCAAGTCAAGTCAAATTATCAACGGCCCTCAGTAGTCACTTTTCAAGACGTACGCAACTCCAACACACCAGCTTGAAACAACGCGATAAAGGATGCAGAAAGGAAAGATGGGACGAAAATATTCCAATTTTTGTTTCTCATGCAAGTAGAAGGCAGAGCTGGATTAATGCTGAATCAGAATAAGCCCGGAGAGTGGCCATTAAGGGGCGGTTTCGGCAGTGGCAAAAGTAAGATAAGTGATAGCTTGTATATACATCATTTCACGGGTCGTAGGCAGATTCGTCAGAGCTGATAAGGAGACAGGGAGAGGGGATATTAATAGCGAGGTTCTAGGGGGTTGCCGTCGTTCTAGCGAGATAAAAGAGGTGAAAGGAATGTAAATGAGTAAAAGAAAGGAGTAGGAGACGGTTGAATAGAGGGGGGTATGGTATGATGAGATAACGAGGGGAATGCATGA